CCCCTGCTCACACTGTCTCTCTCTCTCCCTCTCTCTCTCTCTCTCTCTCTCTCAGAAATAAATAAAAAACATTAAAAAATTTTAAAAAAATGTTTTAAAAAATTGTGGGGTGGGAACATCTGCTTTAGACTGGCTGTTCTGGAAAGGCCTCTTTGAGGAGAGCACATTTCAGTGAAAGGTAAACCGGGAAGGGGGTGCCACGCTGAGTTGGGAAGGAGGGGAGGGGGCGGTGTGAGGAAATGGAAGAAGGATGCCCCCAACCTCATGTGGAGGGAAGGTGGGAGAGGTGGCACAGTGCAGACAGCCCTGCAGAGGACATCTGAGAAGCACGAGGCAGAGGCCAAATCATGCCGAGAGTCTTAGGGTCATTGGGTCCTGGTTTTTTTTTCTTTCTTTTTTTTTTTAGCTTATTTTTATTTATTTTGAGAGAGAAGTAGTGGGTGAGGGGCAGAGAGTGAGGAAGACAGAATCCCAAGCAGGTTCTGTGCGGTCAGCACAGAGCCTAAAGCAGAGCTCGAACTCATGAACCATTCATGACCTGAGCCAATGTCACCCGGGTGCCCCACTGGGTCCTGCTTGAATCCACACCTCAGCTTCTTCCCACCTCCCCACCTGGTAGCCTCAGACATCACCTAGGACATTGCGGACAGGAATGGTACATCCTGAGAGCCTCCAGCCTGCAGCCCTGCAGCCCTCCACGGAACTTGTACCTCAGTTTCCCCAATGAAAAATATTTTTTTCCCAAAGACCATTCTCCTTTCTCTGAGCCACTACATGCACACCAAAAAATTAATTAAATTAAATAAAAAGCTACTATCCCTCTCCATCCCGGCTGGGCTAGGTGGGAGTTGTGACTCAGGAGACAACCCTTAATACATTTTATTTGTATGTAGTTATCTCCCTACCCAAAGCAAGGCTTGAACTCGGGATACAGCGATCAAGAGTCACGCGCTCTACAGGCTGAGCCAGGCAGGTGCCCTGTAAAAGCTTTGGTTCCTTAAAAGAAGATCCTTTGCATGGTTCTGGGGAAGCCCCTGCCACTGGAGCTCAGGATCGTTCTCCTCTTAGCAGAAGGGAGGCACCTGCGCAGTGAGAGAGGAAGGCTGCAGAGAGCAGGTGCTTGAAAGCCACCCCTCCTGCCTCACTCTAGCTTTGTCCCTGCGCTGATTATTGCTTTATTACTGTTTTCAGTCAGATATAATTCCGGCATTTTCTACAATCTTGATCTTTTCACTGAGACCAGATTCTTGCACAAAGATTTGTATGTAAAATGATTATGTACCCACTAGAATACATTCCCCGGCAATTAGCACGTTTAAGATGCAGCTCATAACACTCCTTCTGCACATTCCTCATTTATTACTTCTGAAAATGTTTTGTGATTTTTTTTTTCTTTTGGCGAATGTGTTTACAAATCCAATAACAATCCTCATTTAGAGTTGCAAAACACGAAGCCATTTTGAACTCAGACAGATGGCAGCTAAATGAACTTTAATTAAAGAATGAGTGCTTTGAATCAAATCACTTTAAAAAAGTACAGTACACTGAGATTCTGGAGAGGTTGCATAAACAGCATCTGGGTTCTTCTGCAGGAAGCAGGCCTGCTTGCGGAGAACTAGGAAGGCATCCCCAGCGGATCTGGGCTGGGCTGGGCTGGCACTGGGCACCGTGGGCAAAGCGAGGGGGCGGGCGGCCAGCGGGCAGTAACGCGTCCTCCGCCCAGAGCGCAGAGCTCCTAAGACAGGAGGTGAAACCGACACAGGCCACCTCTTGGTTCAAAGGCTTTGCCTTGGGTGTGGGGGTGGGGTCCCCCATTCTGCTTTCGTGCACTGAGGTCAGCCCGAGGCACGGGGCTTTGCTGCATAACCCGATTAATTGCACGCGCCCGCACAGCAGGAGTGGAAGCAGACAGATGGCTGACGCTCCGCGAGCCGCCGCGCCGGGGTTCCCGGGCCCGCGCCGGGCGCCCCGCCTCCCGCTCAGCCGCCCGCCGGGCAGGAGCCACTTCCGGCCGTGGCCGCGGGTCTGGGCGGGGGCGGGGGCCCGTCTCTAGGCGACCGAGAGGCGCCAGCCGGCCCAGGCGCGCTGCGGGGGCGCGGGGGGAGACCGGTGCCCGGGCGGAAGCCGCTCCTGCTCGGCGGCCGCGCTGGAGAAGGAAGGGGACGGACAGTGGGGTGAGAGGCAGGGGCGGGGGCGGAGAGGGAAGAGCCGGGACCGCCCCGCCGGCCGGGAGGTTTGCACTCTGCGCGGTGGCGGTGGGAGGCGCGGGGCAGGAAAAGCACCCGAGGCGCCTAATCCGGGAGACGGGATTAGATGGGGAGGATGGCCCCCAGGGGCAGGGTGTGAAGGCAAGGTGGCAGCTGCCAGGTTGTCCTCGATTTCATAGTTTCTGGCTCGAGGGCGCTGGTGAATGGGGGGTGGGAGGGGAGGGTGCTCCTGCCCTGATCCTGGTGACTTTAAAGGGGCGGGGGTCTGAGGGTGGAGAGTTGAACGCCCTGGTGGGGCCCGGGGACACTGCGAAGTGGCGGCGGCAGCCGCCAGAGGAATAGTTTGGGCACGGCCTGCCAACCTTGTGGCTTCTGGCTTCTTGCATCTTTTCAGAAGGAAGCAGAGTCCGGAAGGCTGGGACGGGGCCTTCCCTCCTGCCCTGGGCACCTCGCTGACCCCGTGGGTTGGCAGAAGCTTCTGGCCTGTGTTGACCGTGTAATTAGCTGACTCAGGTCAGTTCCTCCAAGTCAGAGGCCTGGTTCTGGCCCTTGGCTAGACACTGCGGTCACCCTGACCCTTCCATGCCCCAGCGCTCCTGTCCAATTGACTCCCAAGTCCTGTTGGCTGACCTCCTTGTTAGCCTCCACCTGGCTGGAACCTCTTCCTGTAAGGACTACAGGAGCCTCCCACGTGCTCTCCCGGCTTCTCCCCCCCCAACCCGTGGGCCCCCCCCCTCCAAGCAGCCTGGGCCAGAGCCCCAGGACCTTCCACACCGCCAGTTAGAAAAGGGATGCAGGCCGGCCCCAGGGTGCACAGCTCTGCTCCACTCACCCCTTCGGCCTGCTTCCATGTGCAGGGCCCCGCTTGGGGAGTGTCCCCAGGAATGCCTGGTTTCACCTCCAGCCACACGTTGTTCCTGGAACACCCAAGGTCCTGCTTGTGCCGTTGGCACAAGGGGCTCTCCCAGAACACGGTCCTGCGCTGCAAGTCCCGCTCTGCTTTGCCAACCGCAGCCGCGCTCTCAGCATCAAGGATGATTCTTGACTCAGAGTCAGAGAAGGCCGCCCTGCCTTGGTGCTCCCAGGGCACCCTGCCTTTCCCATCAGCCCCCCCCCCCCCCCCCCCCCCCCCCCCCGGGCCCAGGGCCAGGCCCTTGCGACGCCCCCCGGCCCCCACCTTCTGCCTCCAATCTTACCCCGTCCTTCACAGTCCCACCTGCCACCAAAGTGGCCTTTCAGAGATAGCTGTGACACACCCCTCGGCTGCTGGCTGCTCAGACGCCCTGAGGGCCATCAGAAGTCCACCGCAGCCCTCCAGGTCCAACCCAGAGCCCCTTTGCCCAGGTGCCTTCTCTGCAGCCACGGAGAGTCCGGCTTGATCCTACTTCACACTTTGGACTTCACCTCCTCCTGGAGCCACGGCAGCCCCTTGCCACTTTGTGCCCCCCAACCCCGGACCCCGCACTCACAGGCCAGGGAGTCGGTCTGGCACTTTGCCTCCCACAACCCTCATCCGGAGGTCACCCGGTCCCAGGAGCACAGAAATGAGTGAAATGTGTCCCTAGCCGCCAGGGCCTGGTGCTTAGGGCCACCGCCTCTGCTTTGGCAAAAGAAGGGGGACCTTGGCATGGTGTCTGAGCCCGGTTTCCTGACCTCCCCTCAGCGACAGCTGCAGCCGTAATTCCACCTGAGACTCGGCAAAAGTTACCAGCGAGGGAAAAAATTTTTTTTTTTTTTTTTACTTATTTAAAAAGGCCTTGGTGGCAGGAATATAGTGTAAAAATCATTGGAAAAACTAAAAGGCATCGATACATATCCGAATATACACTTTGTACATAAATTACATTTCCTTTAGTCTTTCTGAGTGAGGTCCTGATTCAGCACTGAGGTCTAGTAATTCAGAGGTCCCGGAAGCTGCACGTTCAGGCCGGCATAGTCCACCATGTACATCGGCCATTGCTAGAGAAAGGGGGACAAATGGCCTGGGGTTAGGACTCCAGGTGACCCAGAAAGAACACCAGACCATTTAGCTCTGCTTTCTGAAGGGCTTCCTCAGATGCTATTCATTTGGAGACAGCTTGATGGTCCAGACAGCTGCTGAGACCCGTCCAAGGTCATGTAATTCACCAGCGGCCATGGAGCCCGGGCTGGGGCCTTCTGACTCACTCCCACCCAGGGGCCAGAGGCTATTCATCTTACCAACGGGAACTGAGGGTTTGCTCGGAGCACATGGTCACCCCCATAAACTCAGCCCCCTCCAGGCCTTATGCCAAAGAGCCAGTCCTACATCTTAGAGGTGGGAAGAGCTGGTGAACTTCCGGAGGTACCCCTAGGTGAAGAGAAAGGTACAGCCTGCAGCCTGAACTTCGGGGTTTTCCAGGTTTAAAGGGAGGCACAGTTGGGGCACCTGAGGGGCTCAGACGGTTAAGCGTCTGACTCTTGGTTTCGGCTCAGGTCATGATCTCAGTTTTGTGGGTTTGAGTCTCGTGTCAGGCTCTGCGCTGTTCAGTGCAGAGCCTGCTTGGGATTCTCGCTCTCCAGCAGCCCCCTCCTGCCTTCGTCCTTTCCCTCTTTGGGCTCTCAAAATGAAACTTAAAAAAAAAAGAGGGAAGCACAGTCCAAGGATAAAGAAATTTCCAAGTCATTTTCAAACACGTTCCAATATTCTCCCTGTTGGACTCAGGACTTCCAAGCTAGTGTTTTGAAGTCTGAAAGAACTCTCGAGTGTGTGTGTCCCTAATGAGGCTGACCGCAGTGAGGCCACAGTCAATCAGCCCCTGCCCCTTGTTTTCCTCCTCCACGCGCTGTGGCTAACACTTACAACCTCAGGGGGCTGTGGTGAGGCCCGAGCATGCGCTGTGAGCACAGAGATTAACCTAGCATCTACTAGGTCCGCTCTGGCCCCGTCCAGGGGAGGCCCCCACCCCTTCCCTGGGCCTTGCACCTGCCCAGTGGGGGTGTGACTTCCTGTGGAGGAGGGGGAGGATGTGTGAGCAGCCAGTGACGGGGTCGGACTATCTCGTGGGCAGACCTGGCAGACACATCTGCCACCCCGAGGCTGCGGAGCCCCACTCAGACCCAGCGCTTCCCTGTGCCCCAAACCCACGTCCCAGAGTAGACGGCCCTGCCCCAGCGCGGGGCGGAGGCCAAAGAGCAGGGTGGGCAGGTCCGGATCTGTGCAACTTTACCACGAGTGAGATCTGGTTGGTAGATGCCACGGACTCTGGGTTCGAGGACGAGGAGGAGGAAGAGGAGGAGGAGGAGGAGAAGGAGTTCCCTTCCGAGACCCGCTTTCTCTTGCGCTTGGGAACGCTGCTGTCTTTGGCTGGTGGGAGAAAAGGCTGCTGACACCGGATGCTGTGGGGCTGCTCTGTCTCGGCTTTGGCCCCTGGCCCCTCGGGAGACGGCCTTTGTTTTCATGTTTCAAGTCACCCTCTCTGCGTTCAAGGCTCCAGAGCCCCCAGACAAGCCCCGTCCCCGCGGCCAAGGCCCCTCTCTGCCGCCTCCTTCCTTAACCAGGCCCCATAGCCCGGGGGCTCACCTGCCTGCCTTTGCCAACACGAGAGCCTCACCCCCCCTCGCCCCCCCAGGTGGGGCTCCTGGCGGGCTGGGTTCAGGCCCAGGCCCTCTTTCTCCTGTTCCCAGACCATCCAGCCTGGGGGGTCTGGTGTCCCCACAACTCCTGCCTCGGGCCCTGGAGAAAGTCACTCCGTGACCTTGGGCCTTCACTGCCTTGCCAGTGAACCGAAAGATCCTGGAGGGTTGCTGGGAGCTTCCCGTGGCTGGCATGCCTGGGCCCCCAGAAATCCTTGGCAACCGAGAACAGGTATCATGTTGGTACTGTTAACTGTGGGCGGGTGAGGGCCCTGACCTGATAACGCCGTGCCACGTGACGGGTCACAAGTACCACGGGTGGACAGGCAGTGACCCCGTGCAAAGAGACTCTGGCTTACCGTCAGAAGTCCTAAATTCAAATTCCATCACCGCCATTACTAGCTGTGGGACGCTGGGCAAACTGACTGACCTCTCCGGGCCAAATGGAGAAAAAACAATGTGGCCTGAGACTCCCAGGAGATTATGTGTCTGCAAGAGCCCAGTACCCAGCCTGACACAAAGCAAGACTCGGCAGGTGTTGTGCTGAATTAAATTGATACGAATCTCCTGAGACCTCGAACACGGATGCGCACCTGTGTGCTACACAGCAGGGTTTGGTGCTTGCCCGAGTGGCCAGGTCACTGAGTAGAAACCAGAAGGGTCATAATAACACAGCATGAGGGCAAGCTGGGCCTACAAGGGGGCTGTTCGTGCAACTGGTGAAGAAATACCAGAGCCTGGGGGCCTGTGACATGGCATAAATAGACACCCGGGGAACAGAAGACTCTAGGGGCGGAAAGAACCCTGGGAATGGGTGGGAGAAAAGGGATTTTGGAGGCTCCACCAGAAAATGAAGGCAGACGTGCTGGCCCAGGGCGGTGGCCAACTCAGCGTCACTGTAAGATGGTAAAGAGGGCCAAGGTGGGGGGTGGGGGGAAGGCAGACGCAGGTCATGGCTCCCATCCTCTGAGCATCTGTCCCAAAGTCTCCTCCTGAGGCCTCTGAAGGGTCATCTGCATCTCTGCTTTCAACCTAGAGACAGTTCCCAAGCCCATCACCTCCTTGCCCGCGAATCTAGGGTCACGCCTGGCCCCTGTGATCGGCACAGGATAGAGGGGGTTTCTGGTGGGGCTGTGCCACCGTAGGCCATGGAGTTCCAAGGGGACCTGGACCCACCTGGAATGGGGGCCAGGATGGGGGCCCATCAGTGTCCCCACTGAGCCTTGGCCGGGGCCTGCGGTCAGATGGATTGTCCCGGCACCAGGTTCGCGGTGGCCACCAACTCCCCATGTGGCCCTGCCAAGCCCCCTTCCCTCTCTGGGCCTCAGTTTCCCAGCTGCACAATGTGGCTGGGACTAGATCAGTGCTTCTGAATCAGCGGCACGCCTCCCAGTCCCCCAGGGGGACCTGGTCCCCAGTCCTTTGGTGCGTCTTGTCAAGCAGAACCCTCATACCAGACTGTCTCCCAGCTTCCTGTGAACCCCAGGGTTCTAGGAGACAGTGGCTCCCCCTAATGGTCACACTCATCGGCCCTCTCCTCCCCAGGTGGCTTCCGTGATCCCATGTGACACCCTCTCCTCCCAGGCCCAGCCTGCCCTCCTGGTCTCCAGCTGATCTGACACGCTCAGCCATGCTGTGGCAAGGGCCCCTGGGGACATACTGGGCAGGGGGCACAACATGCTCTCTACATGGCCAGCCACCCGCTGCAGGCCACCTGGACCAGATCTGCCCACAGACTCTGGTCCCCGAGAGGCAGAGAGGTGGCTCCATCGGCATCCGCCTTACCTGGCACCTTGGCGTCATTGCAGATTTCTGCAAAAGGCCTGAAAACAAAAGAAACGAGGTGGCAGTTAGAAAAGACGTTTCCCCTTGTCCTTCCCAGCTGCTCCCTGAAGGCGGGCGACCTCTCTCATGAGATGCCGCTGCCACCGCTGGAGAGCCAGGCAAGTGAGACCCAGATGAAGATGGCGAGTGCCCCCCAGGGCAGGGTCCTGCCAGGCCAGTCGCCCCTCAGAGCCTGGAGTCCTTGTCTAGACACCGAGGGCGTTGCCTGAGCAAGGGACCGGGAACGTGTGCCTAGATTAATAGAAGTGAATATTTGTCGTGGTATTTGTTTTTATATCTCTTAGTTTTTAGCTTATTGGTTGGTTATTTTATTTTTAGCGCTATTATTTTTTCTCTCTTTTTTCAAGAATGAAAAAAGTGTGGGGCATCTGGGTGGCTCAGTCAGTTAAGCGTCTGACTTCGGCTCAGGTCATGATCTCACGGTTCGTGGGCTCAAGCCCCACGTCAGGCTCTGCGCTGACAGCTTGGGGCCCAGAGCCTGCTTCGGATTCTGTGTCTCCCTTTCACTTTGCCCCTCCTCTGCTCGCACTGTCTCTCTCAAAAATAAATTATAAACCTTGAACAAAATTTTAAGAAATCAAAACTAAAAACGACTATAAGGACCTATGGTAAAATATGGACAGTAGTTATCTCTGGATGATGGGAGCACTAAATAACCATATTTTCTAAATAACTGAAATGGGTAAAAATTAACGGTATAGTCAGAAAAAATCAAATTTAAGTTTTAGAAATAAATGAACGGTTGTGAATGCGGAGGTTGTGTTTCCATAGGAAAGGGTTGGAGTTGGGACACCTGGTGGTCTGTGGCCCCGTCTCCCTCAATTCTTATGTGGGACCCAAATCCCCAGTGCGATGGCATTAGAAGGCAGGGCCTTTGGGAGCACTGAGGTCACGAGGGGGAAGCCCTCAGGAATGGGGTTGGTGCCCTAATAAAACAGGCCCCAGAGAGCTCCCTTCCCCACTTCCAGCATGTGAGGACACGTGTGAGGGCACAGGGAGAAGACGGTTACCTAGAAACTAGGAAGTGCGTCCTCACCAGACCCTGAATCTGCTACCACCTTGATCCTGGACTTCCCAGCCTCCAGAACTGTAAGAAGTAAACATCTGTTGCTTATAAGCCGTCTGGTCTGTAGTACTGTTACAATGGCCTTGATTGGAGTGAGATATCTGGGTCTGCACCCCAGCTCACCCGCCGTGACTTACACTGGCCCCTTCCCGGCTCTGGGTGTCAGTTTCCTCATTTTTTTTTTTTTTTTAATTTTTAATCTTTAAAAATTTTTAAATGTTTTTTATTTATTTCTGAGAGAGAGAGAGAGACAGCGTGAGCAGGGGAGGGTCAGAGAGAGAGGGAGTCACAGACTGAAACAGGCTCCAGGCTCTGAGCTGTCAGCACAGAGCCCGACGTGGGGCTCGATCCCACGAACTGCGAGATCGTGACCTGAGCCGAAGTCAGACGCTCAACCGACTGAGCCACCTGGGCGCCCCTCAGTTTCCTCATCTTTAAGACGAGGGTGTTGAGCCCCCCGGGCAGCTCAGTTGGTTAAGCATCCGACTCCTGGTTTTGGCTCAGATCATGATTCCATGCAAATCGAGTCCCACACTGGGCTCTGTGCTGTCTGCACAGAGCCTGTTTGGGACTCTTCTCTCCCTCTTTCTCTCTCTCAAAATAAATAAATAAATTTAAAAGGAAAAAAGAAGGGGCGCCTGGGTGGCTTAGTCGGTTAAGTGTCCGACTTTCGCTTGGGTCATGATCTCGCGGTTCGTGGGTTCGAGCCCCGCGTCGGGCTCTGTGCTGACTGCCAGCTCAGAGCCTGGAGCCTGTTTCAGTCTGTGACTCCCTCTCTCTCTGACCCTCCCCTGCTCACGCTGTCTCTCTCTCTCTCTCCTAGAAATAAATAAAACATTAAAAAAATAAAAATAAAAGGAAAAAAGAAGATGAGAGCCCGTCTCCTGGATTCTGTGCAGGTGAGAAGCACCTGTCTGTCTGTCTGTCTGTCTGTCTGTCTGTCTCTGGGCTCCTGGCCAGGCCTGCTTGGGGGGTTTCCCCGCCGGATCCCAGCAGGCCCTTCTCCCATGGCTGTGGCCTGGCTGCCGGGAGCACTCACTGCAGCTGGTTGATGATGACCATGCGGACATGCTCCCGGGCCTTGAGGATCTTCTCCAGCCGGTGGATGTCGTACGTGTTGGGGTTCCGGAAAGGGATGTCATCGGGCAGGCCTGTGACCTCGACGGCATCGGGGCTGTCCCGGATCAGTTTGTAAGGGACCAGCACAGGCCGGTTCAGGCCCAGGGCCTCACCTAGAAGACAGGGCAGGTCAGCGCAAGGGGGAGGTATCCCCTTTTAGGGGCCGAGCCCTCTAGGGAGGGGGCTGGATGCCACTGTGCTAGAGAGTTTAAACATTGATACACACACTTGTTTCTTTGTTTTTTTAATCCTTTAAACATCGATACACATACTTGTTTCTTTATTTTTTAATCCTAGCACAAAACTAAAAGTCCAATACCGGGTGCTGACAATAAAATGTAGTTTCGGGGCGCCTGGGTGGTTCAGTCGGTAGAGTGGCCGACTCTTGATTTTGGCTCATGTCATGATCTCATGGTCAGTGAGTGGGAGCCCGGTGTCGGGCTCTGCGCAGACAGCGTGGAGCCTGCTTGGGATCCTCTCTCTTTCCCTCTCTCTGCTCCTCCCCTGCTCATGCTCGAGCTCACTTATTCTCTCCCTCTCTCTCCTCTCTCTTGGAGGGATCAGCTCTCGGTGGCCATGGGCAGGGGGCCAGGCTGGCTGTAGACGGAGGAGGGGCTGCCAGGGAAGGGGGGCCCCACAGACCCCTACCCCCGCGGGCCCTGCTCCCGACGCACTGACCGTATTTCTCATTGAAGAGCTCCTTCACCTGCTCGCGGAGGATCACCTTCTCCCCTAGTCTGTTGGCGTCATCTTCATCTACAAGAGGAAGACATGGGGCTGTGAAGGGCGGCACGGGTGGGCTCTGGATGGGCTCCTGTGTGGCATCCCAGACCCTCACCTGCTGGGGCTGTCGAGCCAGGCCCCGACTGAGTTCAGTATGAGGCAGCCTGTTCCCGGCCTCATTGCCTATCAATCCATCCACCCCACCCTCAGTGAACAGCTTCCTATGGTCGCGTCAGGCATGGGGAGGCAGTGAACCTCCCTGGAGGAACTCAAAGCCTACTGGGGGTGGTACACACTCACAGCCCCACCCACAAATGCGACAAGAGGCACAGGGTGGGAGTTGGGGTACTCACTGCCCCCAACCCCTGTCTGCAAGTCCAGGGAGGCCCAACAGATCCTGAGTCCAAGGCTTGGAGGGAGACAGGCACGATGTGGGAGCATGGGGGCACACACTCCCCCTACCCAGGGCCCAGGGCAGCCCTTCTTGGGCACCTGCTGTTGGACTCTCGGCTCCCATCGCCCCTGTCCTTGGTCTAAAGGAGCAGCGGGTCAGATGAGCCCAGAGACAGGGCCTGGGCTGCGCAGAGGGCCGTGAGGAGTGGGGGAGAGGAAGGGTGTGGGTGGGCTGGAAAGGTCCTGGGGCAGAGCAGCCTGCCAGCTTGTGCCCCGAGGCTGGGGTAGGGCTAGAGTTTCCAGACAGGGTGCTCCAGAGCAGGCTGGGCTGGGGTGTGTGTGTGTGTGTGTGTGTGTGTGTGTGTGTGTGTGTGCAGAGAAGCAGGCAGGGAGCCAGGTGTGTGTGTGTGTGTGTGTGTTTGTGTGTGTGTGTGAGAGAGAGAGACAGAGAGAGACAGAGAGAGACAGAGTGCAGGGAAGCAGGCAGGGAGCCAGGGCCCGGGAAATGTGGGGCAGAGCAGACAAAATGGGCTCATGGAGGAAAACAACTCCTGTTTTCATCTGGAAAATTTCACAGAACAATGTTCCGCTTAGGAGGCCAACCCAGCACCTGCAGCTGGTGTGCGCCTGGCTCTGCACCCCCTGCCCTCCACTCCCCACCCTGGCCCGGGGGGGTGGGGCGGGGCACCCACATGGCCTGGCACTGCTTGATGCCCCTTCTTCCCGGGGGCCTCCTGATTGCCAGCTGTGCCTTGTGTGGTGGCCGTCATGGCCGCAGTCATGGCCACGCTCCTGACTCTGGAACTAGACCTGTCATATCCTGGAGTTCCCGCACACGTCTCTCTAGCCACGACTAACTGGCCCCCCGGGTGCCCCTGACACGCTGCAGTAGTCAGCACCCCCAGAGAACGTCCCCATCCTGTGTCCCCATCTCCAGGAGCGATGGCCCCATCTGTCACACCAAGACCGAACCCAGCCCCACTTAGAGCCTCCTTCCTCCCACATTCCCCAACATGGCTCTTCTAGATGGTCTTCAGGACCCCACACTGGCAAGAATCGACCTGATCCTTCTCCAGGTCCTGAGTGGACAACCTGGCCGAGTCCTGGGCCCAAGGGCCACCCACAGCCTGCAGGGAGGCTGCAGGTGCTTCCCATCTGTCCCTTGGCCACTGGGGATTCCTGTGGTGGCCAGGATTCTGCACAGGACAGGGAAGGATGGGTGTTCGACACTCTGCTGGCAGCCTGCCTGGACATGATCACAGCCACCCCTCGCCATAGCTAAGGACACAGAGGCTCAGACAGGTTAAGTAACTTCCCAAGGCCGCACAGCTTCTAAGGGCCAGCAATAGTCCATCTGTCTGACCAAGAGACCTGGGTTCCCTGAAATCTGTTTCCCTCTCTGCAGAAAGAAGGGTTGACCGTTAGGGTGTTTCCTCTAAATCTCCCATCTTATCAGCTCACAATCCCATCTGGGGCCGGGGGCAGGGCAGACACAGCTGGCTGGATTGAAAGGGAGCGCAGGGCACCTCAAAGACGAGCCCAGTAAGCTGGGGTCCTGTGGCTGTGGCCGTCTCTGGTGCATACAGGTGTCTCATCTACCCTGCCTCGGCCTCAAGGCTCCAATGGCTACGTGGATGGAGAGAGACACACACAGGACAGGCCTGAGCCTCACACGGCCCTCACCCTGACAGAGGCCACGCCAGCTCCCGGAAGGGCACAGAACCTGAAGCCACAAACCTGGACTTCTGGCAACCCTGGCATGTCGGGGTCATGTGCTGTCCCCTCTCGGTGTTTCTGCTCAGTCTCAACAGAGTATTTGTCTTGGACAAATATTTCACAAGCACCATCCTGTCTGGGTGTGGGGCTGCCCCTGGGCATCTAGCAGCCTACGAAAACAGCCCTGGTCCCAGGCAGGGATGGTAAAGGAAGCTTGGTGACCCACTGGCCTTGATCACTATTGGTGCAAGGCTTGTGGGACCACACGGGGAAATCCTAACCCCGCTGAGAATCAGGGAGGGCTTCACAGAGGTGGTGACCACTGCACCTCCCAAGGCCGCTTGGGCTGCAGCCTCATGTGTGTGCTGGGGCTCTAGGCTTCTTGTGAGTGCTCAGCGCACATGAGTGCTTGGTGGGGAGAGCACCCCCAAACCAGGCTGCGGCTAACAGGGAAGAGCGACACCAGGGGTTAGCCAAGAGGAGGCACACTCGGGTCCTGGGCAGAAACTGGAAATGGTGGGGCCAGTGAAATGACAGGGCAGTGAGACCTGGGCCGTCTGGGGGGCGCTGGTGGCACTGGGAAGTGTCCCGGATGCCTCTGGACATGGTGGGACCCCACTTCTGCCGTATAACAACCACATCCTGTGTGCACACCCCCGGGCCCAATTCTCCGCTTGGCGCCAGGCCTCAGCAAGGGTGCCCCTTGGCTTCTCCCACCTCTTTGTTCTTATTATTTTCATTACAATTTATTATTAATATATTATTAATTACAATTTATATTAATTTATTGCTTTAAATATTTTATTTTCAATTTTGGGGGGAGCAGGGAGAGGGAGACAGGGGATCTGAAGCAGGCTCCATGCGGACAACACAGGGCCGGACGCGGGGCTTGAACTCTCAAACTGAGAGATGATGACCTGAGCCGAAGTCTGGTGCTTAACTGACTGAGCCACCCAGGCACCTTTGGTTTTTTTGTTTTGTTTTGTTTTTTAAAAATATATTTTTGGGGGGTTATCTGGATGGCTTAGTCAGTTGAGCTTCTGACTCTTGATCTCAGCTCAGGTCTTGATCTCAGGGTTGTGAGTTCAAGCCCCACCCTGGGCGTGGAGCCTACAACAAAAAAATACTTGTTTTCATTTAATTTGGTGGAAGGGAGTTCCATTTTTCTTAAAGGATACAAATTTGAATGCAACAAGGGAGGGCGTTCCTGCCCTTCTGGGTGCTCAGAGGAATGGGAGGGGGCCGCCAAGGCGAGCCACAGGAGGAGACGCCCCTGCTCCAGCCCTGGGGGTGGGGGTGAGGGGCGGGGAAGCCATGCTCCCTGCTGGCCTGCTTGGCCCAGCGGACCAGCCCAGTAGCTCTCCGGGTAGGCCTCGGGTAGGTCCCGAGATCGCTTCCTGACAGCCAGGCTCCTGCCACCCCGGGCATATGCTCACCATCTGGAGAGGGCGCGGCGGGTCACCAGGGACTTCCCCAAGAGCTGCCGTGGGTGCAGGGACCTGTCACTCCCAGTCTGGTCTGCTTGTGGACAGAACAAAGACCAGGAAACTGCCTCAGAGAACACAGGGTGGGGCGGAGAACACAGGGTGGGGCGGAGAACACAGTCACCAGGGCCAGAAACCCAGTGGTCCGGGAGTTCAGAGTGTTGACTGACACCCGACTGCTTGGGTTCAAATCCTGCCTTTGGTACTATTAGCTCGTGACCTTGAACAATTCTCTGAACATCTGGATTTCTTGTGTCGCTACCACAACAGGGGGAAACCGTGTGGAGCTGCCCTGAGAATGAAGTGGGGGCACGATGCCCGGGCCCGGCACGGCCCGCGGGCTGGTTTTACTGTTTGGAAGCCTGAGTCAGCAGAGCTATGCTATGGGGACCTGCCTGAGCTCCCCCAAGCCCAGGCTGGCTATCAAAGACACCGATGGCTGCAAATAATTCCAGAAAGTTCTCCATTTGGAGATGTCACAGGTGGAGTGTGTACGCTCAATGTACCTGCTTGAGGGGGCGCCTGGGTGGCTCCGTCGGTTGAGCATCTCGGTTCATGAGTAAAGGGCCCTGCATCGGGCTCTGTGCTGACAGTGCAGAGCATGCTTGCAATTCTCTCCTTCTTTGTCTCCCTCCCCCCAAACACATAAGTAAATAAACAAACATTTAAAAATATATACCTGATTATGCCTGTATGCAGCAGGGAGGAAGAGGGTCCCCAGGCTGGTGATGGTGGTGGGGGGCGGGGTGTCCCTGCCTCAGCAGACTGTGAACCAATCTTTTTATTTTATTTTTTTTGTCTTTGAGACAGAGCGTGTGGGGGGGAGGGGCAGAGAGAGGGAGATACAGAATCTGATACAGGCTCCAGGCTCTGAGCTGTCAGCACACAACCCAACGTGGGGCTCCAACCCACGAACCGCGAGATCATGACCTGAGCCGAAGTCTGACGCTGAGCCGAAGTCTGACGCTTAACCGACTGAGCCACCCATGCGCCCCAAGGCAATCTTGATTCTACCCCTAATGTGATGTGTTTGGAAAGTCACTCAACCTCTCTGCACCTATTTCCACATAGCTCAGATGGGCATCCCCGCCTGCCCGGAGGGTCCAGCGGTATCACATATAAAAACGTTTAAGGCCTCGCACCATCAGAGTCAGGTTGTGGCTGACATTACTAGTAGATCAATGTTTCTTTCTTTCTAATTTTTTAAAATGTTTTATTTATTCTTAAGAGAGAGACACACACAGAGCATGAGTGGGTAAGGGGCAGAGCGAGAGAGAGGGACACACAGAATCCGAAGCAGCTACAGGCTCTGAGCTGCCAGCACAGAGCCTGATGCAGGCCTTGAACTCACAAGCCCTGAGATCATGACCTGAGCTGAAGTTGGACGCCCAACCGACTGAGCCCCTCAGGCACCCCAAAGGATCACTGTTTCAATTATCC